AAAATTATTTTTTCTTTTTGATACCGACGTCCGGGTTGTAGAAGTGCTAGGTCTCTCTTCAGTTCTCTGTTTCTTGGGTGGTGGAATAGTTGTTGTCTCTGGCCCTTCTATTTCGTTTAGACTTGAGTCCTGCAAGAAACTTTTAAGGATTTCAAAATCATTTGGATTATAGTATTTTTTCACCTGGTCGGGACTTGCTTTACAGATTTCCCCTCTCTCGTTCTTAAGATATAAGACTACTCCTTTGATTTCCTGAATTACATAGGGGCCTTCAAACTTTGGAGCTAGCTTTGCCATAAAATTGTCTGGGGCACTTGATAAAGAAAATTTCCGCTTCAATACTTTATCCCCAACTTTAAAATCTGCTTCACGGCGTTTTCTATCGTAATATAGTTTCTGCCTATTTCTTGCCGTATCCGAGGTTTTTTAAGCGCCTGATCAATCAACTTTTGCACATCTTTTTGTTTAAACTCCTGCTCTCTTTGTTGCACAAAGAATAATTTATCTAAAGGCGTAATTAACTTTCTGCCTAAAAATAATTCTGCTGGAGTTTTTCCCGTAGTATCATGATGTGCCGTTCTTAAAGCATAAGCTAATTCATTTATGTAGCCATCCCAGCGCTTGTGATGTGTGCTCACGTAACTGCGAATTATTTTTACTATGTTTTTATTAACTCTTTCTGCTATGTTAGCCTGTGGTCTATACGGAACCATTTTGATATGGCGTATGCCAAGTCCATTGCATATGTTTTCAAATATTTGACTAATGAATTGTTTTCCGTTATCGCTAATGACTTTTATCGGTGCACCGTATTTTAAAATGTATCTGTGTAAGAATGCATCTGCGACTGTTTTGGCTGACGCGCGTTTAAGTGGAACAATTTCTATCCATTTTGAAAAATGATCTACTATTACTAAAAGAAAACGATTTTTATTTAACTCGCTCTGGGGGAAGGGACCAAGGAAGATCTATGCCTAAAATTTCATTCGGAAATGTAGCGCGAATGCTATTTAAGTACCCGGCCGGGCTGTAATTAATATCATTTATTAACTGACATTGATTGCAGGACCTGACATACGCCGTTACTATTTTGTATAATTGCGGGAAATATACCGCCTCGCGTACCCTTTTTAAAGTCTTTCTGACCCCGAGGTGGCCCGCTGTTTTTTCTTCGTGCAACTCCTTCAAAATGCTTAATCGAAGCGAGGCTGGGATGACTGGCTTATACTCAAGATTTTCGTTTGTTGTTTTCGTATAGAATAATAAATTATCTATTATTTCATAGTTTTTTGCTCTATTTCTTATCGCATCGATATCTGTGTGCTCAAAGCTTTCGGGGTCTTTCAAATAAGCATAGATATTTCCAAATTCAGGATCAGCTTTCAGTTCAGTAATAACCGTATCTCTAGAATCTAAAATTTTTGAAGTCAACACAGCGCATTTAAGTTCATTTCCTTCATCGTCCAGTTTTATACGAGAAAGTGCGTCAGCTACATTGTTTTCCTTACCCGGTTTATATTTTATTGTGATATTATATTCTTGGAGTTTTAAAGCCCATCTTATTAACCTGGGCGTTAGGTTTTTTCCCGAGTAAAGTCTACCAACAGCCGCATGATCCGAAAAGACTGTTACTGGCGATTTGCCGAAATAAACTCGAAATTTGTGTACAGCCATTAATACGGCTAATGTTTCTCTTTCTGTAGCTGTATAATTCCTTTGTGTCTGATTCAATGTTTTACTAAAAAATGCCAGCGGATGGTTATTTTGCATAAGAACCGCACCCACCGCATAGTCTGACGCATCTGCTGCAATTTCCAGGTTTTCGTCCCCCTCAGGGAATTTTAAAACAGGGGCATTAATAAGCGCTTCTTTTAATCTTTCAAAAGCTGTGTTAGCTTCCGCTGTCCACGTAAATTTACTCTTTTTTCTTTTGATTACTAAGAGTGGTTCAACAATATTAGCGAAATCTTTTATGAAAGATCGATAGTAAGAACATAATCCAAGGAAAGAAGAAAGTTTCTTGGCGGTGTTGGGCGGTGGGAAATTCTTAATAGCTTTTATTTTTGAATCTTGCGTTTCTATACCCTTTTGCGAAATTTTATAACCGAGATATTTAAGTTCTTTAGTTGCGAACTTGCATTTTGAGGCGTTAATTGTAAGACCGGCCTCTTTTAATAATTTAAAAACTTGTTCGAGGTCATTAATGTGTTGTTCCAACGTACTACTCGTTATAATTATATCATCTAGATAAATTAAAGTTGATTTTCCTAGGACAGGCTTTAGAACAATGTCCATAGCTCTCTGGAATGTTGATGGGGCCCCACACAACCCAAAGGGCATGCGTAAAAATGCATAAGTGCCCGATTTTGTTATAAACGCGGTTTTATGTATATCTTCGGGTCTCATAGCTATTTGATAGTAGCCAGACGTTAAGTCCAAAGTAGACATATATCTTGTCGATTTGATCTGTCTAATGATCTCGTCTATAACCGGCAAAGGGTAAACTGGAAATTTAGTAATACTATTTAGTTTTCTGTAATCGATAGCAAACCTCCAAGCCCTTTTATCCGAAGGAGGAAACTCGTTCTTTTTCCTACATAGTACGACTGGACTGGACTCGCGTACTCACTATTTATGGGCGTTATTATTTTATTCTTTAACATCTCCTGAATATGTTCTTCGATGATTAGGTCTTTTTGTTTATCATAACGATACGGTTTAGTCCTACAAGGTTTTTCGGCATTTAATTGAATCTTGTGAGTCACGATTTGGCAGTTTCCTGGTTTTTCTGAAAACAAATGAGAAAAATTACTCACCACTTGCTGTATTGCTTTACTTTCATGGTCATTCAGATGGCTAAGGTCCAACTTCAGGTGTCTCCACAGGTTCCACCACCCTCTGGTCCATCTCCAACACCACGGAACTATCTTGAAAATTTAATTTGGCCCTCGCGGCCCTTAAAAAGTCCATACCTAAAATAAGAGAGTGTTGCAGGTCTTTCACCACAAAAATTAATACTTTGAGATTTTCCTCTTTTACCTGTAAGTTTAATGATAATTTCCCGATGCAGTGACATGTTTTTCCTTGCGCCGCTATAATTTCCGTATTTCTGGTTTTAAATAATCGTATCCTATAAAAATTCTTTTTGAAGAATTTTCACTCATAAAATTTCCTTCTGCTCCTGTATCGATGAGGGCTTCTACTGGTACATCGCCAACCAGGACTTGTATAATTGGTAGCTGTGAGTTTTTTACGATGACCGTATTTAAATGTCTATTTGAGGGTTTTTTTAAAACTTCCGGGGTCTGGACCCTCCCTTTCACAGGCCCCTCTAGTCGTTTAAAGCTTTCCTTTCAATCTGTGTCTTCTGGGTACGCGGATGTTTATTTTCAAATTTTCTTTTTGGGCCTTGACCTTCGAGTTTCGATGCGTTAGCTTGATAGTTCTTTCCCCCATAAGAGCGATTTCCATTTCTGGTTTCCTCCTTCCTTCGGGTACTTTGAGAATATGTTTCCCCTCTCGCTTTTTCCGCTATTCTGCGATTTTGAAACTTCACCGCCAATTCGAAAAGTTCCTGCAATGTGCTTGGGTTTCTAATTTCAAAGTAGTCTTGGACAGCGGGTAACAATCTTGGTAATATTATTTCAATTATCTCCGCATCGGGTTTTTTCCCATACAGCATATCCGTTAGCTTGATTTTTCGTAAAATAAAGTCCGTCAATTGTGCTGTATCCCGTTGATAGAAACTATATAGTTCGGCTTCCAGCCGTGCGCGATCTTTCACTATGGGGAAGGCCTTTACTAACGATTTTTTGAAATTTTCAAATGTATATGTCTGGCTTGCAAATTCCCCTAATAAAAATTTACCTATATTTTTCCACCATAGCGCGGCCTGTCCTCTTAGTGCTGATGTGGCGATGGCAACTTTTTGTCTTTCAGGCACAGGGTAGAGCTGAAAGTGGTTTTCTAGACCTTCTAGAAATACCGCCACCGAATTTTTTCCGTCGAAATGGACGTTTGGCTTGATTGATGCTCTCAAAGTCTGGACCAGGTATCCAAATCCTTCTAACTGAGTTGTCATTTCTTGGTGTTGTCCAGCGGCTTCCATCCAGTTTTCGGCCATTTCAGTTCGATAAGTGTTCGGGCGCCAATATAACGTTGCGCGCCTCCAACTTGCACGCAACCAAGAGGTGACTGTGAAAACTTGTATAAAAAGACAGAGTCTTGTGAAGGGTTTAAGTCCCTTTTTATTCAACGTAATAAATTACAATTGCGTGCTCTTGACGCTTACAGACTGTGCCAACTCGGCAGTCAAATAAAAATAATAACCTGAAAAGAAAGTAAAGACAAGATTCTAACTACGAGGCTCTCTAAAATAACTAACTCACCGCGTTTTACAATACCGCTGCTAATTCAGCAGACTTGAAGCTCACTGGAACGATTAACCACTACTTCCCGCCAAGCACATAGGCCGCAACGCGGGGTTCTTCAATTCTCGCTAACTACCTCCGCGCTCGCTGAAGTAAGAATATCACACCGAACTCGTTTCCTTCTATTTAAATCATAATACTTCCGCTGATAATTTGAATCCTTGCGCGTTCTACTCAAATTTACATATTCTGGCATTGGCAGTTCCAGGGGAAAGTAAGGCTTGACAGGAAAGATAGTTTAAACTTAAAATAAATAGTTAAAAAATATACAGCATCGTTCATAGACACATTAGAAACTAATTTTCTAATAAAAATTGGTTTCCCTCTCCTCTCTGTGCGCTTGGTTCTCAAACTCTTTTCAAATTTAAAGTTTGTCAATATGTTCGTTGCAACCCATTTATGGTTTTTCAGTGCGCTGATCAATTTGCGCAGGGAAAAAGTAGTTGTTGCTACCCGAAAGTTTCTAAATTCCTTCATTATTTAACAGATTATTTTCATATAATTCTATACGTATAGTGTTTATGTCACCTACAATTTAAATATTATATTATTTTTAATCTTTTCTTGAAGGTGAAATTCCGTGTTGAGCTATCGGCATGGCCCCCGTGAAAGGTCAAAAAATGATGTCATTTTTCGTAGCCACCGCCATCGTCTATGTCATAATGACTGCTTCGGAAGTGGAAGCGGGTGGAATGATGGGTGGTGGTATGATGGGCGGAGGCGGAAAACACGGAGGTGGTGGAAGTGGACTTGAAGCTCTTCTTGTTGCTGGAATTCTTGCCAAGATCCTTGGAGGCAACGATAAAGGAGGAGGAGGAGGTGAAGAAAAGCATCAGCCTATGTATATGGCTATGCCTATGAGCGTTAGCATGGGTCATGGTATGAATTATGGAATGGGTCACGGCATGATGGGATGGAAGTGATGGATCTTGCTCGTTATGAGACATAGTCTGCGAATTATGAAATTTTATATGTTCTGAAAATTAAAAAATTTATATATTTTAACTATGTACTGTTTTTTGTTAAAAGATATTTTATTGTATGTTAATATATTATGCTTATATTGTTCTTATGAAGCAATTTTAAAAACACTCCTGTAAGCATCACTTATGGTTTGTTTCAATAATATGTGATGCAACTTTATGAAAACAGTCTTTCTTGCTTTATCTTCATTTCATTTGTATATATATTTCATACCGATAGTAAATAAATTTTTTATGATAGTTTGTGTAATTCTTTAAATCTAATTCTTAAAATATTCTTTAAATGTTCTAGCGTTACAAGTACCAGCGTACTACTCTAATAATCATAAGATAAATGTTCAATTTTCGGAAAAGGTACTGTGATTGAAAATCGCACATCAAAATTCTTGTAGCTTTTGTAATTTTGTTAAAAGTCTGTCTTAATACCATGAGATCAAATTCTAACTGTACACGTCTACAAATTGTGCTTTTTAAGTGTACAGTAACTCAGCGGAACATTAAAATATCATATTTGATGTTTTTAAAACTGCATGTACTTGGGGCAATGACGAAATGCAAATATTTCAAACCAGAGCGTAGGGAAAGATGCTAAATCATTTTAATATTTTTGATTTAGTATCATCCTTAAATGTACAAAGAATAAAACCTTTAAATTTTTTCAGTAATAAAAATTACAGAAATTATCACATTTCTATTCATAAGAACAATCCATCCTCTTTACAGAAGTATGTTTATCTTGGGAAAAAAGCTTTTATCTTTTTTTAATTTTTTATTTTAAGATAAATTACCCTTCTTTCTGCATGCCTTCGTTATGTAAATTGAAGGCACATTCGATGCGTATTCTGAAGGTCTGGAGTTCGAAACTCGGCAAGGGCATTGTATATTTTTCACGTCTCCAGCCCAAACCCTAATGACTTTACAACTTTAATACATCATTCTAACATCTAATTCCCTTACTGGTAATACACGACAGCACTTTAAAAGCATTCTGCATTTTAGTATGGGGCCCGACAACTCATAAAAATTCTATATTCAGAAGGCTGGCAGACATAAAATAAAAGGGAAATTCCTCTCAGAAGTTCTACAAATCCCAAGTTCTATTACCCAACTGCGAAACTGAGTTGCAAAGACACTTTACTGAGCTTAATATAATATACATAACGCATTAACCTATAAGGCCTGATGAAAGTGCCCTCAACGTATGTTTCGTGTTGTTACTGCAATAATGATGTTTATTACTGTGGAGTGGAGTGTGGTGCCTTTAGGTCTCTAACTGGAGAACGTGAACCTATGTTTTCATAGTCCTATAACAAGTACAGACTAACATTACACTCATTATTCGAAGCTAAAATCAGATTATGTATATGTGGTAGTAAACGAGCAATATCGCCAAACTTCCGTCAGAACTCAGTGTAATATTGCCAAGTACAATATGCGTCATTGCTTTGAACAACTAACACGTGAGCTCCAGGGAATTCTAGGTAATATATAAAAGGATTATTTTGGGTGCTCCTATGCATTGGAATGTCCTGGTACATTAGTAAATGTAGCTCTATGAGCACCTAGTGCTGTGACTTATGAATCAGTTAGATACTATAGAATGTCCCGCTTGCCCATTCCTTTCTATGTTGCTTCAATAAATGCTTCGTTAAGGTTTTTATACCATCTTAATTTTGTATCTTTTTGTAAATGAAAACTTTTTCGTGTATGCCCCGTTTCCCACTTAAAAGCTACAGGTAATCAAAAATGTTCTATCAGCTTTCTATGGCATTCGCTGCAACAGCTGATATAAATGGCGTACATATACAGAAGGGACAAATGTGCATGAAGGGCACTTCACATATAAGTCTTACTATTCGGGAACTTTCACGGTTCAGTCCAATTCTCGTTTGTGTAGAAAAGCATTTTAGTTACGACTGTGAATACTAATATTATTCAAACATATTTGCTGCACGAGAAGGAATCCAGTACAAACGCTTATGAGACATGCCACAAAATAAAAACTACCTTTATAAAACGATGCAGTAATAAAACATGTTATACAAAAGTTGTTTAAAAAATTCCATTTCACTGACAAATCGCTTGAATAATGAAATAGGTTTCCGACTGCCTTATTTGTTTCATTCCTTCCGGAAGATTCAACTATGATTGCATTTATACCAACTGCGGAATCCTTGGTGCTTAGCAACTGGATGACTGAGAGCACTTAATGACGTAGAGCATGAAATTTCAAAACCTGTCTATTTCCTCGTTACTGATTCCCATCGAAAAACGAAAGCTTTTCATGATTGCTTTCTGGCATATGGAGAAAATGTAGAAAGAAAGGAAATGGGTGTAATACACCATCAACAATATGAACGTCATTGATTGTTATTCCCGAATCCCATGTCCGATATTGTAAAGCCTCTATTCCATTCCAAAAGGTTTACATAGCAAACAGCGCTGGTAATGTATAATATGAGCTCTTATATCTGAAAACCAAATCATTGCTGATGAAATTTACACTCAAGAAGCTCGATTGCTTGAGTGTAATGCCAAACCACATGCAGCGAAAATTATGCATAATACAATTATCGCTTTGAAATTGGAATTACTACCGCAACCGCTTAATGTCCACATATATCTTCCAAAATGTTTACCACATTTGATAAATACATAATTTTGTCTTACATCTACTATGCTTTCGGAATTTGACCGAAACAATGACAGAGTACTTTTTAGTTACCTAATATTCAGAATATTAAGACACCTGATATTTGAGTACTATATGAAGTTAACATTTATGCTGAGACAAAGCGTATTTGTATGGTTACAGCCGAAAACATCGCGGCAAAAACAACGCGGACGAAAACGTCGCGGAGAAAACAACGCAAGGCGAAAACGTCGTGCTACAAAACATCGTGGGAGAAAACATCGCAAAGAGAAAACATCGCAGTTCTAAAACATCGTGGTACAAAATATCGCTGTCGAAAATATCGTGGTAAAAAATAAACTATCTACAAAAATTCACATGACGATAACATCGCAGACACGCTTTACTCAGGCTTTAAAGGTAAATGGATATTCCCATAATGATTTGTGAGCGCAAGATGGGAAGAAGGATAATTTTTACTTTCATATATTTTATTAACTAATAAACTTTTGCTGATAAAGTAAGAAGGAAACTTAAGCATAAAAATTGAATGCAACTTATAGCACTAAATAGAATTTTAAACTGACATAGTTAACTAACAAAGGTCATTAATAAATCATTTATTATAAAGTTTTTAAGGTAATTTTTCTTGAAAAGTACAATTTAAAAAAGATCAGAAAAAGGAAGGTATGTAACTACATGACCTTATCTATAAAAACATTGCTTCTCTAAAAAAATAATAAATAATAAAAAAACTACTTCTCAAAAAAATAAAAAATTTTATCAGCAAAAATTTAGTTTAGTTCCAAACTATAAAATAATGAAAGGTAAAAATTATCCTCGCTTTCCAATCTTGCGCTCACCAAATCATTATGGGAAATATACATTTGTGACAGCTTATTAAAACCTGGGAAAAAGCATGTGTGCAATGTTATCTTCATGCGATGATTTATAGGTGCTTTATTTTTTACCATGATATTTTCGACGACGATGTTTTTTAAACTGCGAAGTTTTAAACTTATTTCGAAGACGAATTTTGTACCACGATGTTTTAAACCTGCTTTCTTTCTCCCACGATATTTTGTAGCACGACGTTTTCGCTTTGCATTGTTTTCTCCGCGACGTTTACGTCCGCGATGTTTTTGCTGCGATGTTATCGGCGGACACCATTTGTATAGTATTGATACAAAGTTTCAAAAGTATTATTTTGATTAATTAGTTACCTTCTTTTTAAAGTACTACATTCGGAATAACAAGCATATTTTGTAACTTCGAACCAATTTTTAAGTAATCAGTTTACTTCCTTCTGCCATATTCGTAAGTGGCTATCGTCAAATGAGCTAACACTAAGTCGTTGAAAAACAATAGCAAGTTTAAATTAGAACTATCGCAAATTCCAACTTTTTACAGCCAAACCCTGCAGCATGAACCAACTCCTAGCAATATAATAGTGCTTGTAACACCACTCAAATCTGGACATAATACAGGATGTAATCAGTACAACAGTGAAAAACTTTCAGGAGAGATAAAGTACACTTAGACGATGGGCTATCACATAGCAATGCATGGTCGGAAACGCTTTCCTGGCGAGATAATGACGACACAATACGAAAAAAAGGAAAGACACAAACACTGAGACAAAACATGCTTTATTATGTTTAGCACAGGCGAAATCTACAAATACGAAAGAAAAACAAACAAGGATCGTCATTCTGAGATGCAGGCCTCACTTCTCTGGTGCATGGAAGATCTGCATCATGAATGGAAGATCGCATGGAAGATGCATGACGCTCGGTTCCTACATAAAAGTCCGGGTTGTAATTTCGAACTTCTTTGATGATGATCCTTGTCTCTTTATGTTGCTTTTTCTTTGTTTTTGTTGTACTCAATGATAACATGTTTTCTCACCCTCGTGTCCTTTCTTTCTTGACTTTTATGTCGTGACTACCGTGTAAGGAAAGCGTTTCCGACCATGCATTACTATATTATTTCCCATCATCTAAGTGTACTCTATCTCTTCTGAAATTTTGTCACCGCTATACTGATACACTCTGTATAATAAATTGGATAGATTAATAATGTAATAAACTGGATAAATAATACACTGGATATAATACATTTCACAGTAGTTATGAGAGTTAAGAATAGACCATATCAGTGGTCTGAAACTCAAATCGCATGCGAGTGGAATGCAAGACCTGAAAGCTGCTGACAGACCACATTCTTTTAACCATATAAAACTAAATTTCACATAACTACTTAAATACAACTTTACTTCCTAAATATTTATCAAAAACCTACATAAATTACAATGATAATAACGCAATGGGAAAAAATTCGTATTTATAGCATTTATTTTCTTTCTGCATGACAATAACTGTCAGAATTTTCTTTTGATTATACTTTGTAATACAAATTTACTCACATATAAATCTTAAATTTTTGCACGAGCATTTACATGAATGAATATGCTGAAATAACGAATTTATAACGTACTTTTGAAAGAAACTAAAAAATAAACATATTATGAAAACTTTTTAAGCTTTTAACGCACAACTTTCCGAGTGAGACTAAACTTGATACTCGTAAT